GATGTCAGGCGCTCTCGCTAACGTGTGGTTGGTTATTTTGCGTTTCAGATCGCCGCCGGTAGCGGAGCACAAAGGGAACAGCGAGACTCCCGCATCTTTCAGCGAGAAGAAAGGAGTCGTCAGAGCAGACTAACACAGACTTGTGTCGGGTGGCCTTGCCCTACAAAGGCTGCCTTTCAAAGAGAAACGCAGTGTTATTTAATGAGCTGTGAGATGAGGCACTGCTGCTAACCCTCAGATCCCAGGATTCTTCGGCTATTCATTGTGCTTAATGTACATGTTTCTGCACCGTGCATTTAGGAGATCGCAGAGAAGAATCCAAAACGGCTGCGGGGGAAAGACCACCAAACATGCCTACAGAAACACTACCGACAGGTAGCATGGTGAAGCCAGTCAGCCCTGCTGTGACTTTCACGTCCGCCGTTCCTCTCCGCATCCTGAACAAAGGACCCGACTATTTTCGCAGGCAGGCGGAGCCTAATCCAAAAAGACTGAGCGCGGTGGAGAGGCTAGAAGCCGACAAGGCGAAATATGTCAAGAGCCAGGAGGTCATCAATGCCAAGCAGGAGCCTGTGAAGCCGGCGGTGCTGGCAAAGCCGCCGGTCTGTCCTGCGGCCAAGCGAGCGCTGGGGAGCCCCACCTTGAAAGTCTTCAGCAACAACGTGAAGACCGAGAGTGGCGTCCAGAGAGAAAATCTGAAACTCGAGATTTTGAAGAACATCATCAACAGCTCTGAAGGCTCCAGCTCGGGTTCAGGCTATAAGCACGGTCCCCGAAACTGGCCGCCCCACAGAGCCGATTCAACGGAGCTGAACCGACACTCGTTCGCCGAATCTTTGAAGGTTTACCCCACGCAGGGCCGTAGCAGCCCGCAGGAGAGCAGCTCCAATGTCAGCAGAAGGCTCCTAGACCAGTCGGCAGAGACTTTCTTGCATGTCTCTCACAGCTCCTCAGACATTAGGAAAGTAACTAGTGCAAAGCCCTTAAAAGCAATACCCTGCAGTAGTTCAGCCCCACCTCTGCCTCCAAAGCCCAAAATCGCTGCCATCGCCACCCTGAAATCCCCAGAGATTGAGGCAGTTGAGTCTGGATGCGGAGTTAGTAGAAGACCCTCCCTACAGCGATCAAAATCAGACTTAAGCGACAGATACTTTCGTGTCGATGCAGATGTTGAGCGATTCTTTAACTACTGCGGACTGGATCCTGAAGAGCTTGAAAACCTCGGGATGGAAAACTTTGCAAGGGCTAACTCTGATATTATATCCCTCAACTTTCGCAGTGCAAGCATGATTAGCTCAGACTGTGAACAGTCTCAGGACAGCAACAGTGACCTTAGAAACGATGACAGTGCCAATGACCGTGTGCCATACGGCATTTCTGCCATTGAAAGGAATGCCAGAATCATCAAGTGGTTATATAGCATCAAGCAAGCTAGAGAGTCACAGAAAGTGTCCCATGTGTGAGAGAAAATCCACCGTAGAAAAAGCGAGGACTGTATCTTTGTCTGTGAATATTCAGTTGTGAAGGGTTGTGAAGTCTACTTGAAGTCTTGTACACTTCTCAGATCTCTTTGTGTTGCTTGTTGTGCAATGTTTCCAAGTTGCATGCCTGTCAACATGTGAGCTGACCTGGCTTCCACTTGAACAATAACTAACTACAAAGCCTGGCTGAGCGTACACGTTATCTGCCAAAAGTTTAAGACGAGAATCTAATTAGGGCTTCAGTATAATCAAAGTGTTTACATGGAAAGGTTATATGACTTCTTTGGTATTTATGTGGTTCCTTGTGGATTTTATATGTCACTTTTTGTCATGATACAGGTATTGTCAACTAACGTTGCTGGCTTCTAAGTTGAAACAGAATCCCTTTGGGGGGAAGAAAAGCAAAATTGGCCAAAATAAGAGGTTTAGGCATATGACGATAGGCAAAGCAGCCTTATCTCTTCTAGAAAGTGCATTACTGGCACATGTAAAACTGTTTCTAAAAGGCAAAGAATGTTATGTTCTTAAATTATGTATCGTTGTTAAACTGTATATCCCTACTTGTAGTAAGGGACTGTTCAGTAAAGGTTTCTTTCTTCTAGGTAAGCTCCCTCAATTTTACAGCGGAAGTAGTCTAGTGAATCTGCTTGACCTCTCATAAACTGAGTCATGCATTTGGGTTGATATAAGCATTTTAATGATTTCGTGTTACCCTGTTGGAAAAGTTTAAAGAAGTTTGGAGTCAACAGATGGAAATGTTGTAGGTGCGGGATTTTGCGAGTTCGGTTTTTACTCAAAGATTCCTGGTCTTAAACTTTTGACAGGAATGATTAGATCCTATAGCTGATATTGAATGCCTTTATTAGTCAAACACGTCATGACTACAAACTCCATGCTGTCTTTTAATTATTTTTTTTGTTAGATCTATTTGAACAGTTAATGAACAAAAATGGAAACCCACAGCCATATCAATATAACGCCTCCTATTCAGAAGTAAATACACTCAGTAGCTGAACTATATCTGAAAAATTGTGATTATGTTGTCTTGCATATGTTATATCTAAGGCTGTGAAAGTTTGTTACAGCTCTAGGAAAGTGTAGAAACATGACAGTATGTAGCTTTTCTTTTTTTTTTTTTTCTTTTTTTTTTACCTCCTTATGATGGTTAGTGCTGCAGGTCAACCTGTTACAAATCTTTTGACAATCTGTGTCTTCCTAGTGGTTTTATTAACTGTCATTTCAACTGACAGTGGTGGTGTGGTAGCGGAGAAGTTGAAAGTACAGTGGTCTGCTTCATTATTATTGTATACATGCTTTGAAGTAAATTGCAGCACTACCTTATACTTCATCAGCTAATAGGAAACTTTTTTATTGTGTAAATGCTGTAAGACTTTGTATATACTTCAGTTGTTACGAAATCTTTAAAAGGAAGAGTGTTATGCTAATAAATAGCTCCTGGTGCAGGTATGGTAGGGTTTTTGTTCTTTTTTTTTTTACCCCTCCCATTCTTAAAACTATATCGGGAACTCAATTGCAGTGTGTTTTTAGTGCTGTAGAAGGTCTTGGTTAAATAATAGTTCCAGTAAAAGGTTTCTTTTACTAAAGTGCTTTTCAGAATATAATTTTTTATAAAGTAACTATAGCAGCATGATCTGTCTGAAGAACTAGAAGAGATTTTCAAGACTCCTAAAATAGCTTGCTTCTTCCTTACCTAGCAATGTTACTGTTCCCGTTTATAGCATCTGTTCATGATGAATCACCACAGTCTTCTGAATTATTCTTCAGTAGTTCTTATTTATATATTTGAATATTAAAGATGTTTTACAAAGTTGGGTTTTATCTTTTCTCTAAGAAGCCTGTAGCCCAACTTCTTACTGCTAGCCACAGTTAATGCAGGCGAGCCTAGAATTGGAGCCACGCAGTCATTTGTTGCCTATGGAATTATCCTACATCAAGTTTTATGTAATTGTTTTTCAAATGATTGTTCAAGGGGGTGGGGGTAAGCACACATTCAGTTTCAGGAGGCTACTCTATGGATTTTACAGTTGGCTTCACAACCTAAGACTTACAACATTCCTAGTTCGGTCAAAAAAATGAGGAGCTATGTATTTCAACTACAGGCACATTTGTGACGTTTTAAGCTCCATGGGTTTCAGTTGGCATTGACATCACACTGGTTTTTCAAGCATATTTTTCCAATAGTAAGTTCTACTCAGTTCAGTGACTATTTTGCCAAGGAAAATAATGCTTAAGGGATTAAAGCCAAGTGTAATGCAGCTGTACAGCAATGAAATAAAGAAGTTAAAACCGAAATAAAAATGCCCTCACATTGTTCTCTCTCAAGTGTGTTAAGAATGATGATAAACATGCTATCTCAACTGTTGTCGGCCAAAAACAGTAATAAAGGAGCCTTTATAACTAGAAAATGGGTTCGAGCATATGCTAGTATTCTGAACTGGTTTCCCAGAGTCTGTGAGGAAACTGTAGGCTCTTGAGAAATCAAATTCATTTCCTTTTAATGCCACAAGGGGTTTAGGCTTGTGAGCTATCTTTAAGAGAGTATTTCCTCACCCGAGATCTTAAGCAGCACCTTTTACACAGCACAGGCTCTGACTGCACTATCCCTGCTTCTTACAATATGCACGTGAGTAAGATTGTACTGGAGCCAGACCTTCACAGTCAACTGAACTTGCAGCTCTGGTGAGGTTGCAGTAATAGAAATCGCAAGATTGCAAGATGTCCACGAGGCTTTGAACGAGCAGATAACAATTGCCTTCATTTGTCACTTTATTACAGTTTATGCAGCTACGATTTATTTATTTATAGTCCTGCTATTACCTGTATGTTTGCATAAAAGCCACATCGTTGGTGTTGGATCAATTTTTTGTTTTCAGTAACCAATGGAATAACCATTTTGCCTTTGCAGACGTGTCGAGAGGGTCCGTTGTTTGTCTCTCTCTCTGCCTTAGGAGATTCGTGAGTGCCGACCGCTGAATTTGCTGAGAGTTGTAACCAGCACAGACGCCTCATCGGGGACCCCTTCTCGTCTTGTTCCTGCAGCCTCCAGCAGGGACTTACTCAGGTGCAAAGCACACAGCAGGTGTCCGTGGTTAAACAACAGCTCTCGTTGCAGCAGCAGCTCTTGAAGGAGATGCAAGTCTGTGGCATCCCGTGAAAGCCAGTGCTGAGCCCAGCGCTGACAGTCCTGGCCCCAGAAGTGAAGAAAAACATGGTATGTTTTCAGTAGTTACTGCAAATTCACACACACACACACAAAAGAAACCACCGTAGTTTATGGTGGTTCTGTTATTTGGACTTGCCGGGGAGGGAAAGGAAAAGGAAAATGATGTGACAAAGTACACTTTGAAATCTATGTACAGCTTTGCGCAGAGATAAACTATTTCTCTGAGTGAAAGAGATGGGCAGCAAAGTAAAGCTTCTTTTAATCACTTCATATTATATAGGAACAATGTTATAAAAGATGAGAGATATAGGATCTGTGCCGCAAATTTACTTTCAACAAATACAAGTACTGAAATTTTCTTTTTCATGAATTCTGTTTCTGCAAGGGAGAGCGCTGTGCTGTGAGCGTAGGCACCATCTGAGTGACCGAGGGCTTTTGAAGGGTAAACAGGGAATGATGATGCTTTTGGCAGAAATTCAAAAATCAAAAGACACGCTCGGACAACAGAGCCAATCAGTATTGCTGACTTCTCTCTTTTTGCAGCAGTTTATCCATCCATGGAGGCCATACGCGTTTGATTCCAGTCATTCAATGAAAAACAAAGTGCTTAATGGAGCTCTGCAGTACAGAGCTGAATCATTCCAGTCTGTGGGAGAACAGGAAAGGAGCTAACCCTTAAAAACAGTCTTCCCAATACCTGTTGATTATGGGATGATAATGTTTAGTACATTATATTCGGAGCTCACTTGTTCATAAGAAACTTTTTATTAAGCGGAGTAGTCAAACCAATAAATCTGGGAGTTGCCAGTTTTCCAAGGCTATAAAACTCATGGTTTATGTGATTAATGGTACCACACCAGTAGCTGAGCACATTAGGCTTAGAATATAAGAGCATCTGGAGCTTTGTTCCCATGAACAGTAAGGGTCCCTTGCCTGTTTTGGCAATGAATATAAATGCAGATATAGTGTAAGGTCCCTTTGTGCTGTACAAGAGAATAAATTGGTCAAGGTGTTTTGTTCTGAATTGTAATATAACTTTATATTAAAATCCTTGTTACCAAGGCTTAGATGTTCACTGATACTCTCAATTCATCGGACATTCCTTGCTGTCAGCAGAAGGACTGATATTCTGCCCTTTGAAATATATTACCCATAGCTTAATGGGAAGGACCATTAAAATTGTCTGTTCGGTGTAAGGGCTTTCATCTCTTGATGATGGCATCTGTTAAGTGAGGTTCTAAATAAGCAAATTTCAGTCAGAAATATTAACCCATGAACACCTTTTATTTTTTTCCTAAGCGGTGATCAGTCAGTACATTGTTGCTAAAATTCTCGAATGTTGTCCATTTGGGGCGCAGTGCAATCTAAAGTGGAGACACCTACACCACACCATCTGTCTTGCCCTGGTAGGTATGAACAGCCTTTAGGCATATTTTATATTTGATCACTTAAGAATTTGGTTGTGGCTGCCCATTGAAACTCAGTGATGATAAGTGGTTTTCGGTTTTTTGGTTTGGTTTTTTTTTTAGTTTTTAGTTTTCTTGAAAAACAATCAATTATATAACAAAAACTGTAGTCTCTTAAATGTCATTCTTCTAAATTTACAGTAATTTTCATGATGGTCTTATGACAAGAGTAAGAGAGTGCTAGTATCTGTGCTATTATTGTTTCCTGCTTTTGGTACTGCAAGTCTTCTCCACCTTCTTGGTATCTTGCCTTTTCTGAGTCTTCCCAGCTTCCATTCTTCCTTTCTGCATGTTCCTTCCTTGTCTTGCTTGGCATTTTCATCTTCTCTTCTCTGAAATGTATGACCAAGGTCATCACCTTCTCCTTGCTTAGCCTCTTCTTAAGCACCCTCATCCTTCAGTTATGTTAATTCCCCTGAATCCCCAACCAACTTTCCCACAACATGTCCTGTCTTCTACAGCCCCATATTCATGGCAGCCTGTTTCCAAGAGAGACTCTGTGGCTGCAGTTGAGCTGCCATGTCCTGAACAGAGAGTGGTCTGTTTAATGGATTAGTTTTTTAATTTTCTGGTGTGCCATGTTATTTGCAAAAATGAAACAGCAAGAGGTGGTTCTTTAGGAAGAAGTAGGCGATTGAAAACACTCATGAAGAAGAGGATGTCAAACAGCTGGAAATATCCACCTCATGGTCCAAAATTGCCTGTATCAATGCACACCCTTGCTATTTCTTTAGCGCTATACAGAGTGCTGGCTTGAGAACCATGGTGTGCAAAGGTGGCACAATTTGCAGTGGAAAGAGGCCTGCTATCCAAGCAGTAGTTACCATTTTGCCTTCTGCCATTTGGATGGTACCTGTGTGTCTTACACCTGTGGCATCCAGACCACTTGCACTGCCTGCTCGGTGCCCAGGCAGTCGGCCAAAGAGCACTGCCTAAAAAGACTGTCAGAAAACAAGAAGATCCAGCACTGGGAGATCCAGGAGGGACAAGGTCTGTCCTCATCTGGCTATTGCGGCAGACTTCCTGCTGTGGTAAGAGCAGAGCCGGTTTGCAAGGTAAAATCCCCAGGCTGCCATCTCGTGCAGCCCTGGGGCTGAGGGTCTGACACCTCAACCCTGTGTACGGGAAAAGGGTATGTGTGTGTTCGTATGGGAGATGGCATAAATCAGTGTTTGGAAGCAGAAGGCGTGTGGTGAAGCATGCCACTGCTTGAATAAATTCATTTGCTATTCATATCTTCTAAAATTAAGAAGGGGAAAAAGAAACCAAAAAAAACCCCCCAAAAAACAGGGTTGAAGTTTGGAGAACAGCTGTGTATGCAAATGCTTTCAGACGAGATGCGGAGGTGGGTAGATTTGCTTTTTAAGAAATGAAGCTTTTAAAAGATCTTTTAATAAATGACCTGCTTTTCAAGTATATTAATCTTTTATGAAGTCAGTCTTGCCATTCTGAACTGTAAAAGCTTTGCTACTCTCAGCAGAGAGCGTTTAGAAATGTACTGACAGTGACTTGGGGTGGCTTAAGTAGTAGGATAAAAGGGTGCTTCACTGAACATGAACTTTATTTTACTAAAGTTTTGGAGGATGGTGGTTTTGTTCTTTATTTTAAATAGATTGGGGGGGGCAACAGAAAATTAACATAGTCTTATTTATTAATGTTGGCCTGCAAAGAAGACTGGGAAGCACAGGTTCAGTTAATGTGACTGCATGAAAATTATAGTATTAGGTTTTGGCAAAGGCTTTGTTTTCTTTATCCATGTTTTGCATATCTTGGAGCATATCAGCTTACACATATCTGGCACAAACCTAACTCATCCCATCTGAAAATGCTTTCTGTGAGCTTATGGGTTTGAGTCCATCTGCTGAATTTTCTTTTGTGTTGAAGGACTCTGAACAAAGAGCTGTCGTAAAGCTTTCGATTTCCCATGGTTTTGTTTCTAGCGTGTTCGGCCAGTGAGGCCTTTCAAACCTCCTGCAGACTGAGTGAAAATAGGAGCCTTGTATCAGTATATGCTTTGGTATTGAATTTGGGAGGTAGAGAGCAGGCAAGAAGTCATATTATAAAAATGATTTGGTTTTACTGTTGTTTCCTAATGAAATTGCAGGGTTGAGTTTTTTTCCCTGAAATGCCATACAGTGAAACAGAGCCAAAGAAGCTAATAAAACCTTACAGGGTTTCCCCACAGTGGCATGACTGGGAGCTTCGTCTGGGAAGATCATGAAAAAACCAAGATACCCAAATTCTAGCCCCATTGAAGTCAATGGGAATTTTACCACTGGTTTTAAGTGGGGCGGGCAGGGTTTCACCCGCTGTCACAGCTTAATATTTTGCCTTATTTGGAGGTGGGGTTTTTATCCTATTGTAAATCTTGTGCATTAGTTTTCTACCACTGTCTTACCTATTCTTCTGTCTCCCCACGCAGCAGAAGGGGGA